GTACCGTAGCATTTCACCTGAGAATATTCCAAGGGTATCGTATTTGTTTAATCCTGCGGGAAGATTATAATATAGAGAACCATACTGATAATTTATATATTACTTGTAATAACCATAGTCTAAGAAGGGGTTAATAAAATCCAAAGGGTAGAGTGACACTAAGTAGAAGTATTCATACTCTCATTCATGATTTATCTAAGCTAAGTGGAAAGAATATAGAAAAATCATATTCCTATACTTCTAGTATACATATTATACATACATCCTAATTATATCATTACTTAGCTAATACCCTCTTTCTGATGCCCTCATGGTGCTTCGAGAAGCCACCCCCGATTGCCGAGTTCCTTACGATAATCCGTCAAGAACATGACCATCCAACCGAGGCTAAATACGGAGGAGTATCCTCCCAGGAAATTAACTTAGAACTATATAAACACGCGGAGGAATACCCGTACTACGCTGTCACCATCAACGGCATGCCTTGCTTCCGCAGCATATAACCCCAAATAATGATATCCAGTAATCCAAACACCACGCTTAAATTACCAAATACTACTCTAATATTATCGTCGTGACATAGAGTCATCGTATAAACGATCATTATACCCACACCGTTGCATCTCCCAGATAAGCTAGCATCATAATAAATGTAAGTTCCCTTATATACCACTCAAAACTGGCTTCTCCCTTTTATGCCACTGATTCAAGTTTTTTCACCCTTTTATGCCACTCCCAGCCCTATAGCGTTTGTTCACTGTTAGTCAAATGTTAATTTTTTTTTCGTAAATGACCAATATGCCCTCTCAACTAAAAAATGTGTGTAAACTTCAAAAATTCATAACTAATTTATTTTAAATCCTTTTTGAGTAAACAAAGTTTTGTCAAAACAAGTGAAAAATGCTCTATAATAAAAATATTTTTGGAAAGCTGCATGTTTCATGCTTATATTGAAAATTCATTTGTGATGGTGATGGCTAAAATTGCACGTGATGCAAAAAAAAATCAATTTTCATATGTTGTATCCAGTAGCTATATTAGTACTAAAATTCAATATGCATATATAGTACTAAAAATCCAGTAGCTATATTAGTACTAAAAATCAATTTTCATATGTTGTATCCAACTCTCAAGGGCAAATGCATCTTTTTACTATAAAGATAACGGTCAACTAGCTGTGGAGTGACGGCAATGACATAAAAGGGAAGACAAACTTGAACCGGTGGCATGGAAGAGAGGAGCCAATTTAAAGTGGCATATAAGGGAGTCGGTTTGGGATTGGTATATAAGGGATTCTCTCTAAATGTAACTTGGACATATAATAAAGTTGGTATTCATATACTCGGAAAGTAATACAATACCAAAGTAGTATAAAGAAGAATATTCTAAACGAAGTACAAGTCTTACAAAAGAAGGAAAAGCTACTAGAGCCATACCCGAATTCTTCCGAAGACTCCGAGTACTAAAGATTCTATTCTATTTCTATTCCACTATACTTTAGAGACTATACTAAACTTGAGAGATGAAATGAACTTCTTGCTTGAGGTGTGTGTAGAAATGGAGAGAGTGATCTCTTTTATAGCATCCCAATGACGGTTGTGACAGTTGGAATGGTCGGAAATGCCCTCCAACCGTCAACGGGATGAAATCATGGATGTCCACGCCGAACCCTAGCCTCAACAGTGGAGATGGGGGTTCGGCAGAACCATGGGCTGGTCCAATCCAGCCCATTTTCGGCTGGCAGCCTCCAGGACTTCTTTTCTTTGTAGACTTATGAATTTTGGCCCAATCGATCGTGTCATTTCTGTGTTTTGGCCCATTCATTGATAAGTCTGATCCTCGACATCGTCCAATTTATTGATCGCATGTTTTGATGTCGATTCTCCTCCATTTTATGTTCATTCTCTGCAAAAGGTTAGTAATCCTAGTGCTAGTGGAATATTTATTATTTAAACATAAATATGCATTGCAAGCATAACTAGTTCTCCTTTATTTTGGTAATATGGACGGTTGAAACTAATCGCTAACGACCGCCAACAAATACCACATGGCAAACCTGCTCCACATCAGTTGGCCCCACCTATTAGGTCAATGCGTGGCCTATTAGGGTAGGATCACGAGAGAACAGAAGTGCACGTTCCCTGTTCCCACGCATGTGACGCGGCGCCTCCCGTAACCATCTCTCGCATGATGGCCTCTGGTGATGATCGTGCTGTTGACCAGGTACCAAGATCAGGGAGATGGATAGAATCAATATTCCAAGCTGGTAACCAGGGCCAGTCATGGGTTTTTGGGCCCCATGGCGCAAACTTATATTGAGGCCTCTATATATATACATGATGCATATTTTTCGCTACCAGATGCATATTTTCTCGACGACATGATTAATGTTGTGCTGAAAAAATAATCATCACGAGCTAATAATTTTTTATTTATGAAGAGGAAAAAAAGATACATAAATTTACCAATGAAATTTACCTTAGACAAGCGACATGAGCCGACGAGCGTGGTGAGCCGCGACCGCGAGCAGCAGGTGCCTGGCGTCGATCGGCCTATGAGGAGGCGCCGCCGTCGGGCGGTTGGCCGACTCACGCGAGACGCCGAGAGCTCGAGACAGCAGCGAGCGGCCAGCGGTGTGATCGAGGCGTCAGGCGACGCGAGTGACGTGATCGAGGCGACAAGAGTCAGATCGCTTCGCTTCTCCTTTGCTCCTCTTCGTCTTCCGTCATCGATCCCTGGACTACGTTATTGCGCTGGACAGGCCTCAGGCCTGGCGATGGATGGATGACCCATGGGCCATGGCCCATCAGCCACGGGGGCCCCTAGAATTTCGGGCCTCGGGCGGCCGCACACGCTGATCCCCCGTTCCTCCCCCCCTCCCCCTCCCCCGCGGGCTGGCCCTGCCGGTAACATTCATCCCTTTTCTTGAGATGATCACCTGAATCGACTCCAAAGCATGCTGGTAGGTGATTTGCAATGACACTCTGCTTCATGGTTCTTTGACGAGGAATTAAATCCAGCCGTTTGATCATGCATGTTTGTCTTGTCAAGAAATTAGTGCTAACAAAATGCAATTTAGGGGATTATTGTTAGGGCATTACAACTATGCAATCGTTCTTGTGTTTGTCATTGCAAAATTGCTTTGTCATCATTGGATCGTAATTTTTTAAATAAAAAAGCATGTAGATTTAACAGTGTTAGAACTATTGTATTGCAGTCAGATATGAACTATTGTATTGTAGATTGAACATTTATTGGCATGCAACAATTTTTTTCTGCTTCACAAAAGAGAAGACATGGCTTCCCCTTTTTTTTTTCTCAGCAAATAGGTTGTATTTTTCTCTGCTTCACAATGTATATATTTTTTTCTCCTTGAATTTAATGTTTGTTCCATAGGACGGAAGATGATGAATGGACAATTAACATGATTTGTGATGGCACTGTGGTGGGACAAACTTTTGTGCAAAGAAAAATAGAACAAGACTTATTGTACTATTTTAATTTGACTGATATGATGGAGAGCATTGGCTATTCCACGATGGATTTCCTATGTTACAATAAGAAGGATGGCAGAGGATTGGGCAGCATGGTTATAGTGGAGAGTGATATTCAAGTCGATGCAATGATAAATGAGTATCGAAGTGTGTAAAGGTTGTGAACATGTATCTCATGAAGAAAAACCATGATAACATAGAAGATAGTATGGTTGAGATTGACAAGGCTACTTGTAGTGAGGCACTCAGCAAGGGCAAGAGCATGCCGAGATTATTGATGAGCATGGTCTCATCAATGAGGAATATAATGATGTATCTGACTATGATTCTGAGGAAGATGAGTTATATGTACACGAGATGGTAGAGGAGAAAAAGAGGTGGACAGAAGACCCGACAGAGCATTGTGAGGGTGATACAGTCGTCGAAGATATTTTTGTGCAGCCAAAATCCATGAAAACAAGCAAGGCAGACGTTGTGACACTGCAGGCACTGCTAGTATCAACCAATATAAATTGTGAGATTGCTACCAGGAATAAGAAATGTAAGAGATACCTATGGGTGATGAAGATGATCTATGCTCTGAAGACGATGATGGTGCTGAGGTGCCAATTGTGGTGAGAAAGAGGAAGAGGCCTAGGAGAATGTTAGCTTCAAGAAATTAGTTTGATGAAACCAAAATGTTAGACCATAGCTATATTTGTGAAGGTATGTGCTTTCAAGATGTTAAACAGTTTAGGAAGGCACTGCATAGCTATCACATTGTGCAAATGAGAGATTTCAACAATTTGAGAAATGATCTAGACCGGGTAAGGGTTGTTTATGATTTGATACTCTTGGAATAATCTAAGGTGAAATACTGCAGCAGTATCCATGTGCTAGCGGATTTACCTTTGATCATAACAAATACCAACACTACCGAGCCCAACGACGGTGAATCTTCCCTTCGTTGGTCATCGTCGCCGCTCCCACTATTCCCGACCTCCCGGTGACGAATCCCCCGCTCCCTTGGGCGTTGACAATGGATTCGCCACTCCCATGGGCACAGGTGGCGGAAATTGTGCAGTTCAATGCCGCCGCTGCCTCAAGCCTATTGTGTCGCCGCTCGAAGAGGTGTGGAGGCCGTACAGGATTGGAGAGAGAGGATGGTGGGGGAGATGACCGGGAGGAGGAGAGAGAAGGGGAGAGGATAGGAAAAAAAGGTGATGTCAGGCTAGGTGAGGAGTATAGGAGTAAGGGGAGGGAAAAAAGAGTGAAGTGTGGGTGTTGCGGGAACTACCGGTGGAGGGAAAACTCTGCTAGTCTAAATTGATTTGTGCATGCAGATGTGTTTCTTAAGAGGTCTATTTACGAAAATAGCCTATTTTCATAGCAGGATCTCTTTAGTTGTCCACCTGTAAAAATCTATTTTTACAAGCAGGCCTTTACCCAAGATCGCTAGTGAATTCTCGCAGGTTTGTTAAAAAAATGCAGGAACAACACCTAACGGCTGAAAAGAAAAAGTAGCCATGAACTGAAAAATATCAATCGCATTATTAACAGCAACAGTGCTAGTTTATCATTCAAGAAAGCAACTGCTATCGAATAAATTCCAAGAGAATACAAATACAACCGAAATCTATGTCCACGCAAACATTTGGGAAACCACACAATGCTAGTTTATTACAGAAAACAACACAAATGACGATGAACGAAAACGTGGTTTGAAGTTGGAGTTGACGACGAACGATGGGTCTCTTTCACAATCAGTCCCTGAAGAAACCAAAGCTCGAGTTGACGACGGACACGCCGCCGTCGACGCGCAGGTTCTGGCCGCTCACGTACCGCCCGTCGTCGCTGGCGAGGAACAGCGCCGCGGCGGCGATGTCGTCCACCTTGAGTCCAACGCCCTTTAGGTTCGCCGACTTCTCCATGATCGCCTCAATGGTCTCGTCGTCCATGTCCATACCCATGGCAGCCCTAGCCAGCGGCGTGGCGACCGCGGCGGGGGAAACGCAGTTGACGCGGATCCCGTGCCGGCCCAACTCGCCGGCCGCGTTCTCCGTGAACCCCACCAGGGCGCGCTTCGACGTCGTGTACGCGTGCGACGCCGTGCCGGACACCGACGACGACAGGCTCGCCGTCGAGATGATGCTGCCACGGCGCGCCGGCGCCATCACCCGCGCCGCGTGCTTGGTGCCGAGGAACGGGCCGATCAGGTTCACGGCCAGCACGCGCTCGAAGTCCTCCTTGGTGCTCTCGGTGATCCTGAAGCACGGCGGGCCGGTGACGCCGGCGTTGTTGAACATGACGTCGAGCTTCCCGAACGTGGCGACGGCGTGGTCGACCGCGGCGGCGACGTCGCCCTCGTTCGTGACGTCGCAGTGCACGTAGCTGGAGGCGTCCGGGCCGAGCTCCGCGACGAGGCTAGCTCCCAGCTCGTCCTGGATGTCGGCGACCACGACGCGGGCGCCGTGCTTCACGAACAGCCGCGCCGTGCACGCGCCGATGCCGCTCGCGCCGCCGGTGATCACCGCCACCTTGCCCACCAGCCTGCTACAACGACAACGACGCGTACGCATCACGAATTATTCCTTGATTAACGCAATGCATATATATTGTATCCAGGGGCAGATCCAGAAACAAAAAGTTGGGGGGACTCAACATACCGAGTATACCGATATAAACATATAATCTCAATATTAAACTATACTAAAATGCTATTATGAGACCTTTAGCACATCCTATCTTATCAACTATGATGAAAAAATTAAAGGGGGGGGCTTAGGAGGGTATCCATGGTTTTGTGGGTGTAGGGGGGACTTGAGTCCCCTTGCACCCACGTTGGATCCGCCCCAGATTGTATCAGTACTTCAGTAGTAGAGCAAGAAGATCGAAAAAGCAAACAACTTTTCATACTTCCTTGCATCAGCAGAAACATGGGAGCTGCCTGCCATGGCGCCTGAATACTAATAGCAGTAGTGATTTTGGATCGATGTTTTGTGCTGTCTGAGAAGTGGTTTTGTGTAGCTGTTGCTAGCTGCCTCTTATTTATAGCAGTTTTATACACCGGCCTGCTTCCTCAACTTGACTAGATATTCTTATTTCGAATATACAATTTTTTAGTTTCATTTCGAAGCCGGCTGAAGTTTGGAAGTGACTGCCTGACTGTGGCGTTTACAATTGTGGAATTTGAACATCACGTGCATATTCAGTTGAACCTGATTCTTTCCCTGATTGTTGACCAACATTGCGCATTATATTGACTGCACAGTATGTACAAATCATCCATATATTATTGACTGGCCACAGACATGTGATTGGACTTTTAAGTATATTTCCATGAAGGAGGAGGCCCGACATGAATTAGTTCCTGGTGAGCATAATTTAATTAACTGATCAAATTTCTTTGTAATGGAACCAATACGAAATTTCCTTGTGAGTGTATATGTTTATAAAAAACAAAATATTCTAGCCAGATACTACCTTCCAGTCTTCTAGATCGACTGCATGATCATTCAATTGTCCGAATCACAACTTGCATGTACATGTGACTTTTCTTAGCTTTTATACACATGGACTGATCGACTCCAACCTAAATACAGTGCTCAAATACGAAATTTACTCTCCCTAACAATTTACTGCTTGTTTTCATAATGGTTGAGCCAAATTGGACTTCACAGTATTAAAGACCTTAATTAATTATTTTTTGCAACCGGACAATAGAGTCCTAATAAATTTGGTTTATCACCTAATTCGGAGTTAGGATGAACTGTTTATGAATTTTGTTGAAGTTTACATATTTTTCGAAAGTAAAATAATTACTTTAACTACTTTCCGACAGTTACAATTTCATTGGAGGAAATACGCTCCCTAATGCCAAAAGCTCAAAGAACCTCCACTGAAAATATTACATATAGGTCCTTGGGTCCACATCCACAAGGAACGTAATGTAAATTGTGTTAGCATGACTTTTTTTTTAGTTTTATTAAATTGAGAAGATATCTCTCTGAGCTAATTAACATTTTGTCTAAAGAGCAATCTCTTATACCGAATTCTGGGCATGTTCTCGACCATTCAGTGGTGCCACGTGGCATGGCCGGATTCACAGGTTAGCTCCCTCACGTGCAGCCATCGGATCGTGTACACACAATGAAAAATATAGTGCGGTGGACCTAGTTGTTGTTATATATAGTTTTTGTGGGGTTTATGCATATGCGTTCAATCTCTCCCCAATCATTGCATCCTCAGCAGCTTAGCCGTGTCACCGATGTTAACCTTGCTGGTTCTGCACTAACCTTGGAGAAGGAAAAATGGTAACGGATCGGATCAACTCTTCTCCCAATGAAACTTATCTACTTTTCTCCCTACTTTCTCACCGACCCCGACATGGACACCACCATTAGCTGGGTGACGCTAATGGGTGGGTGATCGCTGTGGGCGATCACCCCCCATCCCCCCTAACACCCTTCTCTCCCCACTTCCTCCTCCCCTTCTTCTCTTCTACTACACCATAAATTTAAAAAAAAATAAAAAAACAAAGTTAGAAAAATTTATGTATAGAATACTATATATAAAAAAATATTTGAATTCAAATTAAAATTTGAATCGGGCATATGAACTATTGACTTATAAACTTTGGGTCTATAAACTTTGAGAAAATCCCTTGTATACCCCTCAAATTTTACCTAATCCCTTCTATACCCCTGAATTTTGCTTACTTCCTTGTATACTCCTAAAATTTGATTTTGATCCCTTCCATACCCCTCACGTCGGTCGACCGTTAGTTGACCGTCTATTTTCTATAAAAATAACCATTTTACCCTTGGATGAACAAAGAAATTCATGAATTACATTATCAAAAATATAAAAGCTTCTTGCATGAGACTATTATAGTTATGAGTTTGTTGTTCGATGTATTATTTATCCCAAAAAATATTTTTAGATAATGAAATAAAAAAATACGTATTTTTTTATAAAAAAGACATAAAAATGAGGAGCATTCATATAAAGATAGAACTCCCAATGTTCACAACATTCTTTTAATGAATGCTCCCGATAAAAAAAATCCATTGTCCTATTAAAATTTCAAATAAAAATTTTAATTTATTACATTTATTTTATTTTCAAAATTTATGTCAAAATTTTCTGCACTAATTATTTAGTCTCTTTAGTTTTATAAAATGCACATACTGTGCACCCAAACAAAATTTTCAATTGTTTTTTAAGCTTATATTTAAACCTAAAGCATCAAGGGCAAAAGGACATTTGCAACCAAACGTAACAGTGAAATGATGTAAAATGTAACGGTAGGGGCATGGAAGGGATCAAATTGAAATTTTAGGTGTATAGAAGGGATCAGGTAAATTTCAGGGGTATGAAAGGGATTGAGAGAGTTTTTAGGGGTACAGAGGAAATTTACTCATAAACTTTGGGTGTATAAACTTTAGATGTATAGAAATACTATATAGAAAAGCTCAAAAAAAGAGTTAATTTTGAATTCAAATTCAAATTTGAATTGGATATATAAAATTTTGACTTATAAATTTGGGTCTCTAAACTTTAGGTATATAAACTTTAGATGTATAAACTTGAGGTGTACAAACTTTAGGTGCATAAATTTACTAAAATAGGAAAGTAATGCAGTGCCAAAAAAGGAAACCACGTGGAGAAGGGGGTGATCGCTCGGGGAGATCGATCGCCCATTAGGCTTTTCGCCGTTGGCTTGGTGCTGTCAGCGTCAGCCTTAGATGCGGCATCGCCCCCGCAGCGATGCTGGGGCGCTATTAACATCAAATTTGATATGCTTCTTTAGCGGATTCGGTTGAGGAAAGGTGCTAGTTGGTAGATAGAAATTTATTCAGATCAAGATGAATACAAAGAGGAATCGCAAAGACCACGGCAAGATAGTTTCATATTTTTAGTATATCTCTTAAATAGGTAGGATTTGTTATTTTACTTTTTTGTTAGGAATCTTATCTTGTGTCCAATCAGGACTCGTATCCGCCCGATAGTATAAATATGCACACCCAGTGTCTTTTTAAATTATCTCTCGATCAATATACTATTTTTGGCGCATCATCACCTTTTATTCCTGTAAGTTCTTGGTTTTGAGCGGGATTGTATTGGCTAAATTTGATCTCTATTGAGAAGCAAGTTCCATCAACTTCGCTTGTGTTAGCGTGTCAAGAACTTTGTCGGTTAAGTTCGATATTCTATTCATGTTGATGCAAGTATTGCCTATCTAATATATCGATTCTATCATTAACTCCATCGTTGTTTAGAGTCTTATCGGCTAAGTTAGGACTTTCTCAGTTAGGTCCGATATTCTGACTAAGTTCAAGTTACTCTAATCACACCTCTATAGGACCACTCCACTTGCCGCCACCGTCAAGCCGCCGCATTGCCACACAGGATAGGAAGTGAGGCTAGCGCCGCAGTCTAATACGTGGGACCGCCACTGCTGCTGGAGAGAGAGGAGGAGCTGGAGAGGTGGACAGATAAGAGGATAAGGGGAAACGCTTCCTTGGCGCTCATGAGAAATCAACGTCCGTGAAAAGCTAGGTTAGTTCGGCTCCTCAAGGTGTCGGTACTTTTTTAAAAAAAACTGGCACATATAAGGAGTTAAAGGTATCGGTTTTTACTTTTAGGCATGTCTGAGGGGTCGAGATCAGACGTTTTGGTTTTAGAATACCGTTTCTTTTTTGCTTTTATATTGTAGATTTGTAGTGGGTGTAGAAGAGTTACCTAAGCAAGCAAAGTAGACAAGGCATCGGAAATAGATGGAGTGGTAGAAGTGTTGGGTAGCTGAATGATGAGTAGGCTTAAATCCTGACTTTTATAAGAACATGTCCTTGTCAAACACAGCGTTGCTGCAATGTAACTAGGAGTACATTTCCTTGGCTGGCTCGTGATGGTCAGTCAAGACCCAACAATTAACGATTCCTTAATAGTAATGAGAATAGTACTCGTACCCTACTTGTCCATCTTCAGTGTCAATATCTTAACTGTTATATGCACTAGTATAGATTTGGACTTAGTAGGTGGGTCAAATATATATCATACCAAATCTTGTAAGAACAGTGTTCAGAAAGAAAGCCCATAGAAGGAACAAAGAGACCGAGCCGAGGGGGAAAGGGTGAAAATAAAACGAAGGAGCTTATGCACCATCTCGTCCTTTAAAGTTTTAATTTTATATTTTCTGTATGACTGAACCTGTTAGCCAATTGACATGTAGGCGTCTTTGTGACATGTCACATAAGTGGCACCCAATATAAATTTGAGGATAAAAATACAAATTTAATTTTAGAGTTCAGGAAACCTGAATAGTTTAAGCACCGTTCATGCATGTATTTCACTCTTCCAACAAATACAAATACAAGACAGAATCTAGCTAGCGATGGAATGTCCTCGCAAACAAGCGGGGAACCATGGATGCTAGTTTATTCAAGAATGCAACACAAATAACATCAACCATATATAACGACGTAATGTAGTATTGTCGATCGACTGACGACTGGTCCCAAATCATTTTCAGTCCCTGAAGAAACCAAAGCTGCTGTTGACGACGGACAAGCCGCCGTCGACGCGCAGGTTCTGGCCGCTCACGTACCGGCCGTCGTCGCTGGCGAGGAACAGCGCCGCGGCGGCGATGTCGTCCGCCTTGAGTGCGCCTGCGCCCTTCAGGTTCGCCGAGTTCGCCATGATCGCCTCGATTGCCTCGTCGTCCATGCCCATGGCAGCCCTCGCCAGCGGCGTGGCGACCCCGGCGGGCGAAACGCAGTTGACGCGGATCCCGTGCCGGCCCAGCTCGCCGGCCGCGTTCTCCGTGAACCCCACCAGCGCGTGCTTCGACGTCGTGTACGCGTGCGACGCCGCGCCGGACACCGACGACGACAGGCTCGCCGTCGAGATGATGCTGCCGCGGCGCGCCGGCGCCATCACCCGCGCCGCGTGCTTGGTGCCCAGGAACGGGCCGACCAGGTTCACGGCGAGCACGCGCTCGAAGTCCTCCTTGGTGCACTCGCTCATCCTGAAGCACGGCGGGCCACTGACGCCGGCGTTGTTGAACATGACGTCGAGCTTCCCGAACCTGGCGACGGCGTGGTCGACCGCGGCGGCGACGTCGCCCTCGTTCGTGACGTCGCAGTGCACGTAGCTGGACGCGTCCGGGCCGAGCTCGGCGACGAGGCTAGCTCCCAGCTCGTCCTGGATGTCGGCGACCACGACGCGGGCGCCGTGCTTCACGAACAGCCGCGCCGTGCACGCGCCGATGCCGCTCGCGCCGCCGGTGATCACCGCCACCTTGCCCACCAGCCTGCCACAACGACAATGACACGTAAGCATCACGAATTATTACTTAACGTAATGCATACCCTCATCACAGAATAAGTTAATCTACTATTAGATCATAAGTTAATCTAGTACTGCATGGATGTGATGATCCTGTACTAGATTAACATATTCTGGGACGGAGAAAGTAGCTAGATTGGAGCACATAGCAACTAGTAGAGCAACACGGTCGAAAAAGGAAACAGCTTTTCATACTTCCTTGCATCAGCAGAAACATGGGAGCTTCCAGCTGCCATGGCGCCTGAATACTAATAACAGGATCGAGACGATTTGCTGTCCGAGAAGTGCTTTTGGATCGATGTTTTGTGCTGTCTGACAAGTGATTTTGTGTAGCTGTTGCTGCGTCTTATTTATAGCGGTTATACACACCGGCCGGCTTCCTCAACTTGACATCCTAGAAGTTTGATTTTTAAAAATATATAAAAAAATATACAGTTTTTTTTTTAAAGATGTTTGATTTCAAAGCCGGCTGCGTTCGAAGTTTCAAAGTGACTGCTTGACTTGTTGGCGTTTACAATTGTGGAATTTGAACATCACGTGTATTTGGTTCCCATACGCTTCATCACTTCCTGATTCTTTCCCTTGTTGACTAATGTAGTGTGCACTATATTGAATAGGTGAAGGAAGAATATATATGTGCACAATGTACAAATCTTCCATATTATTGACTGGCCACAGCCCACAGGCATATGTTTGGATTTTGAAGTTTTTTGGTGGATATTTCCATGCAACAAGAAGGACCGACATGAATTAATTCATGGTGAGCACAATGTAAAACAACCATAGAGCGAGTGGAGCTCAACTGATTATATCTCTTGTGGTGAAACCAACCACGTGTGTTAAAGTCCTAAACTTTACACAGATGCTAATCATTTATATTTAATTATCATAACTTTATGAATCTCATAATGTGCTAGTCAAATCCTTCGGCGGTGCCCATAGTAATCATGGTTACTTCGTCAGTTTTAAGATATGCTAATCATTTTTTTATGTGCATATAGGGACAAAGTGTAAGTGTCTGCCATGCCCAATCTTTTGAAGGTGCTGATAAATGTAGGGTATACGTGTGCACGTTTGTAAGGATGATATGTGTGCACGCGTTGTGAGCGCGTATGTTTGTTGTGTGTTTATAAAGGGAGTAAATTGCACCCACGGTGCAACAACTTGACATGTGGGTGCAATTTTGTGCAATAACTTGAAAAATGTGCGTTCTAGTGCAACAACTTGACAGGAAGGTGCAATTTAGTATAAGAACTTTATAAGTGATCGTATAAATATAATAACTTGCAAGGTAGGTATGATTTTGATACAATTAATGAAGAAGTTATGTGATAAATTTAGAGCATTTTTTATATAAATTCAAATTTTTAAGTACTATTTTAACAATATACTTGCGCGGATTTATATAAACATATTTATATTTTTATCCTAATAACTAATAACTGAAAGTCAATTAAACTGGATGTAGACATTATTTCGGTTGATATTTCAGAAGGTGGAGAAAACAAAAAAATTCTCAGCCACGTGGCCGGCTGAGCCATCTTTAGTCCCGGTTGGTGTTACCAACCGGGACTAAAGATCGAGCTGACCTTTTTTTTTTGCATGGCCCTGTTGCTGCATGGTTTATATATATATATATATAGTATATATATATATATATATATATATATATATATATATAAACCATGCATATATATGTTTCAATACATATATATGCATACATATATATATATGTATATATATATATATATTATATTATATTATATGTATATACATGCATAATATATATGTATTTATACACATATATATGTTATGCAAATTAATGCATATGTATATAGATATATATATGACCAAAATATATTTACATTATAGAAAATGTGTACACATGCATATAGAAACATATGTAGTCATGTATTAATTACAATCCATTATATGTCCTAGCTAGCTAGCTATCATTTCGACGTAGTAGTACTCGCTGCTAGCTCAGAAGCTAAGGACCGGTGAATTGTGTTTCTGTCGTAGTAGAATTCACCCTTGGGATTAAGGATTTCTTCGTTGATGAATCCCATGAGTTGTTCTTGAACCGCCGTGATAAATTCCTTGTGTGTGGTCAGGTTATCCCTCATGCGAATAAACTATATGAATGTATGAAATTGATTAGTAATTAAACAAGAAATCGCTACGTAATGAAATTTTGAATTTATTTGTACGTACATCGAGCTCTCTTGTGGTGATGATTTGGTTTGCAAGGCAGTGGCAATACTCGCACACGTAATAGCCGCACAAGTTATTTCCCTGCTTTTGCTTTGCGCACTACAAATAAATGACAAACAACGAGAGATCTAATTAATATACACTTGTATGTATTTGAATCGGAGAAATATAAATATAGAGCATGTGTACTCACAGGAAATTTGAACTTCCGCCTAAGTCTTTCTCTCCATTTGCCGCGGACCAAATGACGGAACCGATACCAAGCCCTACATGGAGTTTAAAGCTATGATTCGTAGTAGCAATTAACATAACAAGATTTTCTTAATTAACAAAGGAACTTATGACGGTACCTGTCTATAAGTTCGAAAACCTTGTCAAACGTAGACTCTTTTTTATCCATTGAGTCATATACGTTGACGGTGCAGGCCTCCAGGTCGAAGAGTAAAAGCACCCAGTGGAATCTGCAATGTGCGTGGGATGCATTACATATGAAACACTTAGCAAGTTCGTACGGGAATGAAATTTGGTATGTAGGAAGACAGTAAAATTAAACTAACTCTGTGTTGTATGGCAACAGTATGAACGTCTTGTAATGCTGCGCCTTCAGGAGATGGACGAGATTGTCCTCTGTTTCTTGTGGATATTGGTCGAGCATTGCGACGTTTACTCTCCGAGGGTCGATGAATCCAGTATCGAAAACCCTCCGCCGTCGGGCCCTTTGAATCTCCATTCTACAACGATAAAAGGGAGTATATTATTTTCTATAGTCTACTTATATACAAGGACCTAATTTATTAAAGGAGACGTATAGTAAGAAATCTAACCGAACGATATACTTACAAAATCCAGCAACTCATAATAGAGACGTCGAGGGCGTCCAGCTGGTATAGTTCATAGATTCCCTTGAAATTGATCCAGAGAATGTCATCTCCTTGCAAGAAGTCCGTGTCCCTGATCCTCGCTCCGATCATCTCTCTACCGGCGGCGCTCATCTCCATGTACAGCTGATGGAACTTGTACATTTGTGTGGGTAGGGACTGCAGCAGCTCAGGCTTGACAAGCGGTTTACCGAGTTCGTACATGTATTTCACTTCCGCCTTTTCGATTGGTGCGACTCCTAGCAATTGATCCGTAGTTAGACCGGTGTCAGTAATAAATTGTTCTATCGTCATTTCTTTACCGGTAACCAACGGCTCGATCTCCTGTTTTGGTTGCTCTCCAAGCTGAGGGACTGGTTTGGACTTTCCAGAAGATGCTTTCTTCAGCGTTCGCTCATAGTCCGATAGCTTGATGGCCTCCTTGACAGATGCAGACATACCCCTGAAGAAGTTCCTGACACTGGGGTCTATAGGAATCTTCTTTTCTGGACTTCGAGGCTTGAATTGTCTCTTGACTTCTGATGCAACGTAAGCGTCAAGCTCCTCTTGCGTGCAATCGTACCCCGGGTCCTTGTTCTTGGCGGCGTCAACTTTCGCCTTCTTCGTTGCCCTTGTGTGGGCAGGCGGTGGAGCTGGGGGGGCCCTTGACTTTGAAGGTGCCGGAAGAGGAGCTTGCGGGGGAGTAGGTGTAGGAGCACGAGGAGGAGTCGGTGCAGGATCCTGAGGAGGAGTCGATGCTGGAGCCTGAGGTGGAGACGGTGCTGGCGGAGCATGAGGAGGAGACGGTGCAGGATCCTGAGGAGGAGATGGCGGAGCCGGAGGAGATGGTGCACGAGACGCCGCTTGTCGCCCAGGGAGGATGATGTACCGCCTGCGCCATAGAATAATGGCATGGCTTGTGTCTCGTAGATGCGTCTCACCGTCTCCTCCAGGGTAATCCAGCTCGAGGTCCTCGTACGCGCCTTCGACCAACTCAACTTCGACCTTCGAGTATCCTGCTGGAATCGGCCTGCAGTGGTAAGTACCTGAAGGGTCCGTTGGGATGGCCATGCCCGACGCCACCTTCATGTTGTGAGAGATTATTTATTAGTAATCAACATATATAAGCAGCAACTAGCGGAATGGCTAAATCTTACCTTTATTGATAAGTTCTTGAAAGGAATATGCAGCTCACATGGTGTCCGCTGAGTGATGTCATCAACGGGACAGGTCGATTCATCCTGTGTTTGCATGGCGTCCATGCTCTGTGATCCTACCTGCCCCGTTGAGGCGCAGCTGCTACGGTTTCCTGACGGGCTCACCATTGCAGGAGGAATGGTCGGCTGGGGATCATGGGACCGATGTGCGGCCATGCGTTCATCAACCTTCCTTGCCACCTCCTCTTGCATGTTGAGTTCGTAGCTCGATACCCGGAACTCTAGGTCTGCAATCTTCGCCTCGGTATCTCTCTTGCTCCTCATCCGACTCCTGTACGTGTGGATGTCCTCCTTGAAACCAATCTTCCAAGGAATCACCCCTTTCCCTCGAGTTCGTCCTGGATGCTCTGGAGTCTGCAGGGCGAGTGTCAGCTCGTCCCTATCTCTGTCTGGTCGGAACGTGCCCTGAGAGGAGGCTTCCACTGCATCTGTTAGTCGTCGCGCAGCCTCTTGTATCTGATAGCCGAAGACCAGTGAGCCATCAGCTGGGTTGAGCGTTCCACCGTGAGCATAGTACCAGAACTTCGATCGTTCCGGCCAATTGGCTGTTGCCGGTTCGATACCCCTCTCAATCAAGCTAGCCTCCATCTGCTCCCACTTCGGCATCGCGACGCTATAGCCTCCTGACCCCAAGTGGTGATGGTACTTCTTCTTGGCGGCATTTTCTTTGTTTCTTTCCATCATCGCCTGCCCTTGTTCACCTGTCTTATATGCAACGAACTCGTCCCAGTGATCCCTTAGCTTTGGGAATGTGTCGAAGTTCGGTGTCTGCCCCTTCAGTATATACTTCTGGTACAGATCTCCCTTGAAGCTCTGAAACTGTTCTGCCATTTTCTTCAGAGTCCACCTTTTCACTTTGTCCTCTGTACCCGCAGGAAGGGTGAATGTCTCGAGCATTGTGGTCCACAGCATCTCTTTCTCCGAATCTGGGACAAAGCTCTCATGATCTCCGCGTGCCCTTGTTCTTCGCCAGTACACCGTACTGACAGGCACGTTATCCCGCACAACCCAACCGCTGTGACGTACATAGTTCTTGGCGGCTTCGGCCGGGGCACTAGG